TCATTCGGGTGATGAGTTACCAGTCATACACCTTGTACAGTACTGAGACTAAGAGCATCATATTTTGCATATTTTGGCATCAATACACAAGACACCTCACTGGCTCTAACCTGGATGTGGAGTCATCAATAGACTACATCAATGTAGTTACAGGTGACGAAGGGAACGGGACAAAGTGGTCATTGATGACTCCCTGTCGCCAATGACAGGGGCTGATGCAGCCCGTCCTCCTCCTGTTTAGTGCTTTTTTTTGTAACTATGTGCACCATAGTACTAATATTGACATACTAAGCAGCTGAACAGTAGAATTTGGTACCATTCACTTTATAGCGTACGAAAAAGTGAAGCTTTAAAAAAATAAAGTATTCCTAGGCCTAATATAGCACATATATGTACTATATTAGGCCTCAGCATGAATTAGGCCTAGGAAAGTTAGGTTAGGTTTAGTTTGTCTTTGCAACATAAGTAAAAAAAAATTGATTTCCGGTTTGTCCAAATTCAATAGTACCGATTTCTACTTTCTAATCACGTTATATGTCGGTATATGTACTATGGTCCTCAACGTTACTATAAGTACTACCAAAACAGGAGGATGGACTGCATTGATTCCTGGCGGCCGATGACCTCTTGTTCACTGTGAACAAACAGCTATTCAGTTCACACTGTTCAATACGAACATTTTTCTTGCAAGACGTCTCACAAATGTGATTTATAAAATCCAGATATTTCTCGCTTACTCAAGAAAGCGTAGCGTCGAGCTCAACAAGGCTAATACTTAGCAAGTATCAAGGTAAGGAGCTATAAACCTGTTTGGCAAAAAAACACTTCTGTTCGGAGAATAGTCTAAAAGCAATTAAGTCCTAATCAAAATTAGTACTTAATTGCTTATATGTGGATTGGAGAGCAGGCCATTTAGGTCTCTATATACAAGGTGTTCGGGGTCTAAAGATATAAAGCCAATATTTACCCAGGTCACAACTAGACCTGGGTAAATATTGGCTTGTAAATAGTATTATTCCCGCCACCACTCTCATGTGGTCCGTCTAACATCGCTGCCACACCTCACTGGCGTTGGTATTTTATTTGGCGGCTACATAAGACAACTTTCTATATTAACACACCTATCTGATATTATTAATATAGTTACTAGTATGCTGTAGCGATATGATTGCGCCAGCTGTATCTATTGTTTTTATTCAGATGTGCAATGTCGGTAACTGTCGATTTGGCACCACTGTTGATCATAGGGTAGTTCCTTTCTGAGTTATATGTATATATATATATATATAATATATATATATATATATATATATATATATATATATATATATATTTTGCTCCCTGTCAATGTTCTAGATCTCGCATGTACTATAATCGTAACCAATATAATTTTTAGTAATCATTTTATGCTTTCCAACGGTCTCATAATCAATTTATGTGGAACAAACTTGCGCGCCTGACTAGGTGGCGGCCATGTTTGTTGACGCTGCGGTCAGCTGCCTCCCGCGCGGTCAAGCTCTTCTTTTGTTTGGGCTCTATGTTGTGATATATGCTTCCGGTATATTATTGGAGAGACGCAAATAATATGTACTTATTGTATAATATTGTATTATGTATTATTAATCAGTTCTTAGTATTTTTTGGCGGGAAATGCCCTTGCCTGACTTCCTAAGTGTTGTGTTTCCATCCCCCGTTTTCTTTCATCCTCATCTTCTATGTTTACTCTCACCCCAAATGCCAGCCTTCGTAAGGTATTCTCACTCCCCCTTCTCTCCCAGGAATACTCACCCCATCCACCCCTTTCCACCATGATTACTCATATCCCTCCTCCTTCTCCTCCTCCAAGGTGTACTTCGACAACCGGACGCTCTTCGCCAACGTGACCTCGACGCGTCCCAACTTCAACGTGAGTCGGCTGGACGCAGGGACCAGTTACCAGATCAAGGTGTACGTCAGCCACGGGCCCGTCACCTCCCAGCCCGTCGTCGTCTCCGCTTACACCTCCAGGTCCTCCAGGCCGGCCTCGGGTCAGTGTGTGCAGCGCCCTTCTACACACACACACACACACACACACACACACACACACACACACACACACACACACACACACACACACACACACACACACACACAGTTGACCTGGCCTGTACAAGCTCTCATAAATACACTACTCGCCGCGTACACCCGACTTGTTGTAAGGCAGGTGTATGTTTATATGCTTTATAAAACATCCCTTTCGTGTCCTTAATACACACACACACACACACACATACAGCTGGTGAGCTGAATGGACAGCTCTCTAAACTCGTGGACCTAGGGACCGGGGTTCGATCCCCGCAGCCGGCGGAAAAAGATGTACAGAGTTTCCTTCAGCCTGATTCTCATGTTACCTAGCAGTAAATAGGTACCTGGGAGTTAGACAGCTGTTACGGGCTGCTTCCTGGGGTGCGCGCGCGCGTGTGTGTGTGTGTGTGTGTGTGTGTGTGTGTGTGTGTGGTGTGTGTGTGTGTGTGTGTGTGTGTGTGTGTGTGTGTGTGTGAAAAAATAGGAGTAGTAACAGTTGATTGATTGACAGCTGAGAGGCGGGCCGAAAGAGCAGAGCTACACCCCCGCAAGCACAACTAGGTGAATACAAACACACACACACACACACACACACACACACACACACACACACAGACACACACACACACACACACACACACACACACACACACACACACACACACACACAGACACACACACACACACACACACACACACACACACACACACACACAGACACACACCACACACACACACACAGACACACACACACACACACACACACACACACACACACACACACACACACGGCATAAAAACAAACACTAAACTGCTTGTCTCGACATAACATAATTGATGCTTTGTACTCTAGTAATTAAGTGTATGTGTGTACCCAACTAATTGCACTTGGGAAGGTTGATCGTAAGCTCTTTGGCCCTGCCTCTAAGCCTTCAGTCACCTTTTATTATTGCGTCTTTACACTTTGGATACCTTCACATAAACATATAACTCCGCCAACTGTGTAGGTCTCCCTCTCTCTCCCCCTCTCTCCCTCTCTCTCCCTCTCTCCCTCTCTCTCTCCTCTCCTCTCTCTCTCCTCTCCCCTCCCTCTCTCCCTCTCCATCTCTCTCCCCCCTCTCCCTCTCTCTCCCCCTCTCTACCTCTCTCTCCCTCCTCTCTCCCTCTCTCTCCCTCTCTCTCCCCCTTCCTCTCCCCTCTCCCTTCTCCCCCTCTCTCTCTCTCCCTATCTCCTCTCCCCCTCTCTCTCCCCCTACTCCCCCTCTCTCCTTTCTCCCTCTCTCTCTCTCCCTCTCTCTCCTCTCTCTCTCCCTCTCTCTCCCCCTCTCTCCCCCCTCTCCTCCCACTCTCTCCCCCTCTCTCCCCCCCTCTCTCTCTCTCTCTCTCTCTCTCTCTCTCTCTCTCTCTCTCTCTCTCTCTCTCTCTCTCTCTCTCTCTCTCTCTCTCTCTCGGCCCTCCCTCCCTACGCATGACAATTGCGTTAAAAATAGTTCAAATGAATTTATTTAAGACGAATGGCGTCTCCAATTACAGAATATAAACGTATTCATTTTGCTTTAAATAACCTGTAGAGAAACCAAATGAAGGGTTTATATTCGCCTGCTTTACGATCCCCTTCGTGCACAACACAGTCGTTATTGTACACAAATTACAGTTTTAGGCACGTAAGCAATTACTTAGTACAATGAGTACAATGTACTGTGTACACTCGTAATGTTGCTGACGTATCTTTGGTTATTTTAAGTAACAGTGGCTAGTAGAATATTGGGGCTAGTGTGTGTGTGTGTGTGCTAGTGGTGAGTGCCCTCCGTGGTTAATATATGTGTGCTAGTGATGTGTGTGTGTGTGTGTGTGTGTGTGTGTGTCTCTCTCTCTCTCTCTCTCTCTCTCTCTCTCTCTCTCTCTCTCTCTCTCTCTCTCTCTCTCTCTCTCTCTCTCTCTCTCTCTCTCTCTTTCTCTCTCTCGCTACCTCTTAGCTCCGCGAGTAATAAGCATGAATATTTTGGGAGAGGTTTTGCAGTGCGGCCTCTGGGAGTGATGGTCCTGAATACTGTGTGTGTGTGGTGGTGGGGGGAGGTCAGAGCTGGTCACCTCTTATCATTCACCTGTACGTCTCTGACCCGGCCTCGCTCCCTGACCTCTGACCTCTAAACTGAATTGATCTAAGAGAGTTCTCCCAGAGGGTGTCAGAGCCAAGTCTAGTTTATTCAGGATGAGACAACAGGTGTTTAATGCAGTCACAGTAACGCAGGTGTTTAATGCACAGTCACAGCAATGCAGGTGTTTAATGTAGTCACAGTAATGCAGGTGTTTAATGCACAGTCACAGTAATGCAGGTGTTTAATGCACAGTCACAGTAATGCAGGTGTTTAATGCACAGTCACAGTAATGCAGGTGTTTAATGCACAGTCACAGTAACGCAGGTGTTTAATGCACAGTCACAGTAACGCAGGTGTTTAATGCAGTCACAGTAATGCAGGTGTTTAATGTACAGTCACAGTAATGCAGGTGTTTAATGCACAGTCACAGTAATGCAGGTGTCTAATGCAGTCACAGTAATGCAGGTGTTTAATGCAGTCACAGTAATGCAGGTGTTTAATGCACAGTCACAGTAATGCAGGTGTTTAATGCACAGACACAGTAACGCAGGTGTATACAGCCATGCAGACGAACACGTCCAGCCACTTGGACTAGACGGTAGAGCGACGGTCTCGCTTCATGCGGGTCAGCGTTCAATTCCCGTCCGTCCAAGGGATTTGGCATCATTCCTTTGCTCTAGCTTATCGCCCAAATCCTTATCCTGATCCCCCTTCCAAGTGCTATATATATAATATATATATATATATAAATAGTCGAACACTTGCTTAGTTCCTCAAAAGGAACATAGAGCAGACCCTCTCTCTTAGTGAAGAAAGAGCCAGTACCAATCAGATAAATCAAGGCACAGCCCATCAGATGGAGCAAAGCACAATCCTTCTCAAGGGAACCAATAAAGACAAGTGTGTTGTGTGTATTGTCTTACACAAGTGTTGAGAACTTGTCAACTTTTGACCTCAATGTGTCAACTTTTGACTTCAGTGGGGGGGGGGGGGGGAAATGTGCTCCAAGTATACCTGTATTGTGCTCATTTATACACCTGCCTGTACATCGTCCTTCGTTTCCACCCCTTTGAAGGAGTACTCCCTCTGGCTGAATTATTGAGGTCCATTTTCCACGGAGAAGAGGATGAAAGGCACTCGAGGGAGCCTTTAGGTCTGAAGTAGGATTTTTTTTTTCTATTATTTGTTGATTTGTCTTTCTAGTTTGCTTGTGTGATAGTTTTGCGTGCGCACACACACACACACACACACACACACACACACACACACACACACACACACACACACACACACACAGCCGACCAGCTGTGTCCTCCACTGTCACCCGTATACATGAACCAATCTCCAAAATGCACTTTTTCCATTTAGAGAAGAAGCAGGAGAGCCATGAGACGGCGGCGGCGGCGGCCCCAGGAGGCGGCGGCGGCGGCGACGGGGGCGACAGCGGCGACGGGGGCGACAGCGGCGGCAGCGACTCAGAGGTGGCCCCGCCACCCGACACCGACGTCGTCCTCGCCCCCAGCGACAACGTCGACGCGAACGAAGGCACTGCCATTAGTGCCGGTGGCACCGGCGGTGACACGGGCGCGGTGGGCGGCGTCGGAGGCGTGGGCGCGGTGATGGGCGTGGCGGCGGTGAGCCTGGTGGCCCTGGTGGGCGTGGCGTGGGCGTGGCACTACTGCAGGAACAACTGCGACGCCACGAGGAAGGACGTCCGCCTCGCCTCGGCTGACGACGCCAAGAATCCAGATGTTGTGCCCAATATTGGTGAGTTAACTGCTGGGTGGGAGTGGTGGGAGGGGAGTCGTGGGAGTGGTGGGGGTGGGAGGGGAGTCGTGGGAGAGGTGGGGGTGGGAGGGAAGGAAGGGAAAGGATATGGAACAGGGGGCATGAAGGAGGGTAAGGCAGGAATCGGCGGGAATAGGGCGGGAGGTAACGAGCCTCAAAATAAGGGCAGAATGGGGAGATTTATGAAAAGGGCGAAATGGAAAATTAGGAAGTGCCTCTGTGACGTGGATCTTGACTTGTTATGTGTGAGAGGCAGAAGTGTGTGTGTGTGTGTGTGTGTACTCACCTATTTGTACTTACCTATTTGTGCTTGCAGGATCGAGCATTGGCTCTTGGATCCCTCCTTTCCAGCCATCGGTTGTTTACAGCAATGACTCCTGTCCCATTTCCCTATAATACCTAATTTTAAAATTATGAATAGAGTTTGCTTCCACAACCTGGTCCCCACAGTGTGTGTGTGTGTGTGTGTGTGTGTGTGTGTGTGTGTGTGTGTGTGTGTGTGTGAGAGATACTATTCTATCAGTGTGTGCGCTGTCACACACACACTGATAGAAAGGGTGTGACAGGCGCTGTCAGGCGCTGATAAGAGGCCCCAGAAGTGAGAACCTTAGACAGAAAGGAGAAATCCAAACATTCGTAACTCCGAACACCGGCAACACACGCGTACAAACCAAACACCGTGACAGGCAGACAAACACATGCAGCTGCTTGCGCAAGTTTTTTTTTCGGCCGGGAGAGGAATCAAGAGAATATCCAAAGTTTTTTGTTTTAACCTGAAACAGCAGTAAATGTCTGTTCAAAGTCTGTTCAAAACTTTGTATAGGTGTAGTTATATTTTGTATTATATTATGTATATTATATTATGTATATTATATTATGTATATTATATTATGTATATTATATTATGTATATTATATTATGTATATTTGTAGAAGGATTTTGGAGTTCCTCTCGATTTCACTCGTGGCCTTTCACTCTTTGTCTCGAGTAGTTCTAGCATATGTTTTTTTTCGACTATAGAGAAAAAGCACAGTTCAGATTCCCATTTGCATAGTTTTAGCTTTTTCTTAGTGGTTAATTAAACCCACCGTTATTAAAACCCACAATTGATTAAACCCACCGTTAATAAAACCCACAATTAATTAAACCCACCGTTAATAAAACCCACAATTAATTAAACCCACCGTTAATAAAACCCACAATTAATTAAACCCACCGTTAATAAAACCCACAATTAATTAAACCCACCGTTAATAAAACCCACAATTAATTAAACCCACCGTTAATAAAACCCACAATTAATTAAACCCACCGTTAATAAAACGTTTAAATCGTTTAGTAAAGAAAGAGTTTTAAGAAATCATGTCATTAAAGCAAAACAATTCACGCTATAAAAAGTAGCATCAAATTGGCAGATATATAAGAACCAATTTAAAGAACTATTTTTTTATTAATCTGTAATAATGTTCTGCTAACTTATGATCACTTTAATAAATAAAATTAATCACTCTCGGCTAAGGAAAGAATTCAGTAAAATCTCGCTTTAAAATTAGAGCACTAAAGGTTTAAGCGGAGATCATATAACACATAATATGCTCTGAGAAGAAATAAACATAATATGCTCAGTATAAGCGTCCCAAACACACAATATGCTCAGTATAAGTGAGCCAAACACACAATATGCTCAGAATAAGCGTCCCAAACACACAATATGCTCAGTGTAAGCGAGCCAAACACTCAATATGCTCAGTATAAGTGAGCCAAACATACAATATGCTCAGTATAAGTGAGCCAAACATACAATATGCTCAGTATAAGTGAGCCAAACACACAATATTCTCAGTATAAGTGAGCCAAACACACAATATGCTCAGTATAAGCGACCCAAACACACAATATGCTCAGTATAAGTGAGCCAAACACACAATATGCTAAGTATAAGCGAGCCAAACACACAATATGCTCAGTGTAAGCGAGCCAAACACATAATATGCTCAGTATAAGTGAGCCAAACACACAATATGATCAGTATAAGCGAGCCAAACACACGATATGAGCAGTATAAGTGAGCCACACACACAATATGCTCAGTATAAGTGAGCCAAACACACAATATGCTCAGTATAAGCTAGCCGAACACACAATATGATCAGTATAAGTGAGCCAAACACACAATATGCTCAGTATAAGTGAGCCACACACAATATGCTCAGTATAAGTGAGCCAAACACACAATATGCTCAGTATAAGTGAGCCACACACACAATATGCTCAGTATAAGTGAGCCACACACACAATATGCTCAGTATAAGTGAGCCACACACACAATATGCTCAGTATAAGTGAGCCAAACACACAATATGCTCAGTATAAGTGAGCCAAACACACAATATGATCAGTATAAGCGAGCCAAACACACAATATGATCAGTATAAGTGACCCAAACACACAATATGCTCAGTATAAGTGAGCCAAACACACAATATGCTCAGTATAAGCGAGCCAAACACACAATATGCTCAGTATAAGTGACCCAAACACACAATATGCTCAGTATAAGCTCAGTAAATGCGAGCCAAACACACAATATGCTCAGTATAAGTGAGCCACACAAACACACAACAATATGATCAGTATAAGCGAGCCAAACACACAATATGATCAGTATAAGTGACCCAAACACACAATATGCTCAGTAAATGCGAGCCAAACACACAATATGCTCAGTATAAGTGAGCCAAACACACAATATGCTCAGTATAAGCGAGCCACACACACAATATGCTCAGTATAAGTGAGCCAAACACACAATATGCTCAGTATAAGTGAGCCACACACACAATATGCTCAGTATAAGTGAGCCACACACAATATGCTCAGTATAAGTGAGCCACACACACAATATGCTCAGTATAAGTGAGCCAAACACACAATATGCTCAGTATAAGTGAGCCAAACACACAATATGATCAGTATAAGCGAGCCAAACACACAATATGATCAGTATAAGTGAGCCAAACACACAATATGATCAGTATAAGCGAGCCAAACACACAATATGATCAGTATAAGTGAGCCAAACACACAATATGCTCAGTATAAGTGAGCCACACACACAATATGCTCAGTATAAGTGAGCCAAACATACAATATGCTCAGTATAAGCGAGCCAAACACACAATATGCTCAGTGAGCCAAACACAATATGCTGCAGTATAAGTGAGCCAAACATACAATATGCTCAGTATAAGTGAGCCACACACACAATATGCTCAGTATAAGTGAGCCAAACATACAATATGCTCAGTATAAGTGAGCCAAACACACAATATGCTCAGTATAAGTGAGCCAAACACACAATATGCTCAGTATATGCTCAGTATAAGTGAGCCAAACATACAATATGCTCAGTATAAGCGAGCCAAACACAATATGCTCAGTATAAGCGACCCAAACACACGATACGATATGATCAGTATAGAACATTACGCTCAGAAAACAGAAACAGTTTTGCATCTGTTCTTAAAAATGATTCGTTACGTCGCATCCAATCCTGTTCGCAGCCGTGCGGGACGGTGTCCATCTGTTTCTGTCTGTCAGTAATTCTGTCAGTCAGTCAGTCAATCAATCAATCAGTCTGTCTGTCAGTCTGTTAGTCTATCAATCTGCCCGTCGGCCTGTCAGTCCTGTTTTTATTATATAATGACAGTTAAAGCAGAGAGAGAGAGAGAGAGAGAGAGAGAGAGAGAGAGAGAGAGAGAGAGAGAGAGAGAGAGAGAGAGAGAGAGAGAGAGAGAGAGAGAGAGAGAGAGAGAGCGAGACAGAGAGCTGTTGCTCAAGTTTGTCCAAGTATTATTGCCTCAGTTATTTGACTTTGTAGCAGGTTGTCTTATTATTCTCCTCGTAGGAGCACTTGAGGGCCAACCGCGGCGTTTGTGGTTGTCCTGTGCGTCTGTTTGTACGGTTAGACAGGAGGGGGTGTGTGTTGTGTGTGTGTGTGTGTGTGTGTGTGGGAGGGGGGGAGTTGCGTGTGTGCGCGCACTTGCCAAACATTATACAGGACAACGCACCAGTTTCTATGTTGTTGGTCGTCTAATGCACTGATTCCGCGACCCGTTTTTTTTTTTTGTGTCACATTTGGTCATCAAATAATGCGAGGCGGCAGACTCTATACTGCTTCACTCTGCCTGGTCCACCCACACACCTCCCTTGACCTGACACCCCCAGCTGTGTCTCCTCATGCCTGAGGCTTCACCTCACAGTATAGCCTCGTCCTCTCGCTGTGTGGTTCATCTTCTTATTGAACTCTGCTAGTTAGCTTGAGTGGGTTGAGTTGCAGCTCTTAGCTTCCGCCTCTCGTCCTTTATTCTACTAGTGTACAGAGTCCTATAAACATTTTGGGATCTGTCATATAAGATTGTGTCTGGAGTCCCACCACTTCACTTGTTAGATAGGGTATTTCATTTGTTTACTAATCTGACACTGGATATGTCATTCTGATGTCTCTGTGGTACATTCGATACTTATGTTCCACTTGTGTCATCGTGCTCGTGTTCCATGCATAATTAAAAAGTTTGTTCTACTCCCTGTGTATTCCCTTAAGAATTGTGTATGTGGTGATCATGTTTTCAATTTCTATTATCTAGTTAAGTTTATGTTCTTAAATCATACCATGTTTCTTTTACCTCTCAGCTCTGGTGCTAGTCTGGTGGCATTTATCCTGTACTTTATGCTGATTCCTTTATTATAGTCAGTTGTAAAGGCTGTGCTTCTGTTGTTCAGTCTTACATCTCCAGGTGATGATATCCTTTTGGTGTGGGCTTCAGGCCACTGAATTGGTGTCATGAAACGCTACAGCTGTTTTTATTTTGTTTCCTATTCCAGGAGGTTTCCTCTTCTCTTTGGCACTTTATATCCAGTTCCCAAATCCTACCTTCAGCACTTTTGCGCTTCCTTGAGTTAATCTGAAGTCATGTGTT